TCATCTTCAAAGCTTTCTCCACTTCCTCGCTTGTGATCTCTGGGTCTCTTGCCTGCTTTCTCTAGGGTTCTCCTCATTCATTGAAATATTCCTGCCATATCTTCAGTATCTCAGCATTTTCCACTAACACATTGCTTTTTTCATCCTTGATCAGCTTTGTCTGGTAGATATCCTTTGAGTTCTTGTCTCGCTGCTTCGCCATTCTCAATGCCGCTTCTGTCCATCGATGGTCTCCATGTCCTCATACAGCACTTGATATGCTCTTGCCTTTGCCCGGGCAACACTTCTTTGCTTCTTTCTTTGCCAACTTATATACTCCTTTATTCTCATCGTTATTCTCCTAAGGTTTTCTTTGCTTCCTTCGTCCTCTCGAGGCTCTCCTGCACCACATCATTCCACCACCATGTCTCTTTTCCTGGTTTGCACTCTCCTGGTGTTCTCCCTAACAGTCTTTCTCTTAGCTTTCTCAGGTCTTCTGTCACTTCCTCAAAGCTCCTATTTCCTTCCTTTTCACTCTGCTGTAGCTTGTCTCTTGCTGCTACCACAAACTGGCTCTGCGTGTCTTTGTCTGCCATTTTCCACCATTTTGTTCTTTGTATTCCTATTGCTTTCCTCCTTATTGTTATACTTCTGCCCAGTGTACATATAAGTGGTCTGTGCTAGCTGGTTACGCTCTCACCCAAGATCACCCTGCAGTATTTTACGTTTCCTCTGTCACTCATTCTACACAAGATGTAACCAATCTGTGACTGCATCTCCGTTCTTGTATGTTATCCTGTGCCTCTCTACTTTTTTTAAAGAAAGTGTTAACTATTCGAAGGCTGTGACTCATAGCAAAGTCAAACAGCTGATCACCTGCCACGTTGCTCGCTCCAACTCCATATATTCCGATGGTATCCTCCTTTCTTCTGTTGTTGCTTCCGCAGTGGCCATTGTAGTCGCCTCCAATCCATATCCTTTCACTCTCTCTCTCTCTATATATATATATATATATATATATATATATATATATATATATATATATATATATATATATATATATACACACACACACACACACACACACACACACACACACACACACACACACACACACACACATATATATATATATATATTATATATATATATATATGTATATATTATATGTGTGTGTGTGTGTGTGTGTATACATAGATACATATACATATAAATATATATACATATATTTTTATATATATATTTCATATATATATATATATTTATTTATATTCATATACACACACACACACACACACACACACACACACACACACACACACACACACACATATATATATATATATATATATATATATATATATATATATATATATATATATATATAATACAAACTTCCAGTCGGGAAGCGGAGGCGTATAAGGAACAGATAAACCAGGCATATCAGGAACAGCATCTTTAATGAAAAGTTGACATTTTACTGAAAACAAATGCTAAAGAATATTCACATTTTCAAGAATGCATCTATTGATAACAAAACTGTGAAGGCTGCAAAATTTCATTTATTCAGCAAAGATGACTGATTAACTAGCCATGCCAAACCAAGTAACTTCTCTCATTTAGTATCCAACAGCTGCCACCATAATTTGAGTTCTCTTGGATGCTAAATGGCCCACAAAGATCTAGTGGGAGACCGGGAAAACTCTGGGATCTCAATGTAAAAAATGTGGGTTAAGTCTATATATTCCATCTAAATATCTAATATGGCAGATAAGCCAGCCATGCCAAACCATGGTGCCTACACTGCTTAATATTCTTCCATGGTATTAGTTAATTTCTTGGGAGTCACAACAAGTATAGTTGTCACATAGCCTTGTCTGGAGTCTGGCTATTGCCAAGTAGTTACTCTCTCATCCCTTGAACGCCTCACTGCTCCAGATTCATCTCCAAGGACGCTCAGACTTGCTTTTCTTTATCATCTACCAGATCAATGTAGGTGTTCTAACCTCTCAAAATGAGTTTAAAAAACAATAGCCCTTTAATTTTTATTTTACTAATAGCAATTCAATCGCCGACATTAATGTTTAATGTTTGAAACAAATAAGTGTGGTAGACATCAAAGGTCATGTAGCACTATGGTAACGTATTGTGTCGGGAGGTAAAGAAGAGTTAAAAATTACAATAAAATGGGTTGGATGTTAAAGACTAGGATAAGATAGGATAGCATGGAAGTGAAAAGGGTAAAAGGGGGGAATAAGTGAACTAAAGCAGAGATTGGTAGAAAGAGGATGGTAGAGCAATTGAGTGAATTATAGTGCATCTGTCACTGGGTATAGGAAAAATGTTCAAGGAAAAATAGAAATGGCTGTTGGAAAAATAGGAGACGAATCCGGGGAGAGGGGAAGGTGTTAAATGTCTAAGATTAAAGGGTGTTATAGGAAAGCATGGTAACAAAAGGGGAAAAGTGGGAAGTAAATGAAGTAGAGTAGGGATTGGTAAAATGGGAAAGGTTAAGGGTGTAGAGCAATTGAGTGAATTGCATCGTATGTGACGGTAAGGAATAGGGACATTGTTCAAGGAAAACAGAGGTGGCTGTTGGAGAAGAATTTGGGGGATGAGGAAGGGGGACTGGGGAAGGTAGTGAGGTATCAGGAAGAGTGTCTGGACAGGAGGGGTCTGAAGAAGGACACTGTTGAGATAGAGGAAAATCATCTGAGTATTCAAGCAGGAGTGGTAGAGTGGGTGGGGGTTTGTTAGGAGGAAGATGGGGTGAAGGGAATTTGAGGAGGAGGAGGATGGATATCTGCAAATACTTTAAATGTAGGAGTAGGAACAGAGGGATTGGAGGAGGGGGTTAGGGATTAGAGTATTCCCTTGGGTCATCTTTTGGGAGTTTTGGATGTCTTCAAGGGTTTTTGGAGGGGAGTTGGGTGAAGTGACTGAGGAATAAAGGTTCTCTTATAAGAGGAGATACATATCTGAGGAGCAGCAGTAGAGGAAAGTGTAGAAAAGGATGCCTGGTATGACAAATAAAGTGAAGAGGAGGGGTAGGTATCAAGGAAGTGGTAGAGATTGGAGTATCTGGATTTAGACTGGAAAACGAATTTGAGTGGGGTATACACATAGGATGGTTTAGAGTATAGAGGAGAGATACTGGGGGAAATGCAGAAATATCTTGTGAAAATGGTTGGGGAGCAGAGCAAAGGACTGTTTAGGAATAATTTCAGAGAAAAACCTCGTCGTTGTGCTTCTTGTCTGGCCTCACGTAGAGGCCAGAGGCCTAGTTTGAATCTGAGGATTACTACCTCGCATTCACATCTATAGGCAGGGCAGCTCCGATAAAATACTTTATGGGATCTCCGTAATTGACACATGTACGTGACTGAGCAGGGCAATTTGAATGGCCATGATAAGGTTGGTCACATAGAGGGCTACGGGCTGTGGAGCAACAGTGTTTGACTGGGTGGCCAAAACACCAACATTCTTGACATTGACGAGGAAGAGGTCGACATGGTTGGACATAGTAGGACAATCCACCAATATAAACCTCATGGGGGAGGCCATGTCTATGGAAGCTAATCTTGGCAATATTGACGTGGGACTTAAGCTGGCCTCTGGGGGGAATCATATTCCCCAAGGCAGGTAAGTAAGTCTTCTTCACAGTCTGACCAGTCCTTGTAGATAGGATAAGCATTTTGGGGAAAAGAAACAGTTTCAGTACAAGCATTAAGAGAGGGGTGTTTCGGTAGGAATGGGTTTGCCAATAAGGTCACTTAGGGTAAATAGTGCCCGAGCTTGGGATTCAGATGTAACTGTGACAAGGCGTGAACGATCAGAGCGACTGCGAAAGGTAACTTTGCCTACTTGTTTCTGAAGGCACTGCTGAAAAACAAGGGTATTCTCAGAATAAGGGGCTGTGGGGGAAATAAAAAAAAATCGTTCCCACTTGGCTGGGCCAAAGAGAGTACTAAGAAGGTTTGCAGAGGCAGTAGAAGGACGAGGGCGAGAGGAAGATGAGGTGGTGTTTAGTGGATTAATTCCGTGGGGGGAGGGGAGACAATACGGATGAAGCGTAGTAACAAGGGAAGAGGGGGTAGACATTGAAAAGGACTGTGCGGTAGATGGAAAGGAGAATGTTGGGAGAGAGGAAGGGGTGCTTTCTGGAGGTTGAGTGGGTGATCTGGAATGGTTTAGAGTTACTTGTAAATGTCGAAGACAGAGTATTAGTATCAGTGGGCGGACCCGTGGTCAAAGGAGGGGCAGGGATCGGAAAACCATCAAAATCAAATTTAGATAAAGGGGCTGGGTAATTAACCAAGAGGATACAGTGCCCATGCCTCCCGGAGGCCGTTCATGACTGACACAAAGCCAGCCTTTCATCCTTTCAACTTAGCTTTAACACCTGAGGAATGGGATAGAAGAAGGGGATGACGAAGATAAGGAATTAATTTAATAATTAATCTAATGTTTGGAAATAAATGTGCTAGACATTAAAGGTCATGTAGTATTATGGTAAACTATTGCGTCAGAAAGGGCAAAGGAGAGTTAAAGATTACGATAAAATGTGTTAGATGTCAAAGGTTTAAGCGTTATGGGATAGTATGGTAGTGAAAAGGGAAAAGGGGAGCAAGTGAACTAGAGCAGAAATTAGTATAAAGGGGAGGGGAGGGCAACTGCATGAATTATAGTGTATCTGTCATTGGGGAAGGTATAGGAAAAATGGTCAGGGAAGAATAGAGATAGCTGTTTAAGAGTAAGAGAAGAATCCGGGGGGAGGGGAAGGTGTTAGATATCAAAGATTAGAGGTTGTCATAGGAAAGTATAGTGTGAAAAGGGAAAGGAGGGAAGTAAATGAAGTAGAGCAGTGATCAATTAATGGAAAAGGTTGAGGTAGAGCGATTAAATGAATTGCATTGTATCTGTGACAGGGGAAGGAACAGGGATAATAGGTGATAAGGTTATATATGGTTGTCTTAATAGTAAGGGATTAGGTATCTGAAGGTTGCCATAAAAGATCAGGAGTAGGTGAAGGAGTAGTGTCTAGGGGTTCTACAAGGGTCGGTGGGGTTTGGGGAAGGGTATTGTGATAAAAGAGATTCATGTGTGTATACAGGAGGGAGTGGGAGGGATAGTAGGGAAGGATGGGGTTGGGGGGGGGTTTGGTTTGAGTGGTATGGGTGGTTTGGGTGTTGAGAGGATGAGGTATGTGGAAAAGAATCGGGTTTTGGAGGGGGGTTTGGTTTGGGTGGTTGAGAGGGTGAGGTATTTGGGAAGGGGTTGGGAGAATATAAAGGGGTAGAGCAACTGAGTGAATTGCAGTGTATCTGTGACTAGGGAAGAAGTAGGGACATTGATCAAGGAAAACAGAGGTGGTTGTTTGAGAAGTAGGAGGAGAATAATCCGGGGGTTGAGAAAGGGAGACTGGGGAAGTTGGTGAAGCATCAGGTAAAATGTCTGGAGAGGAGGGGTCTGGAGAAGGACACTGTTGTGATTGGGAGGATTCGTGTGAGTATTCAAGAAGTGGTAGAGAGGGTGGAGTATGTTGGGAGGGTGTAGGAGGAAGGGGGGTGGAGGGAACATAGGAAGGAGGATGAATATCTGTAAATACTTTAAATGTAGCAGGAGGGATTAGGGGGTGGATGAGTGTTCCCCTGGGTCATCTTCAGCAAGTTTTGGATGTCTTCATGGGTTTCTGGAGGGGAATTAAGTATAGAGGACTGAGAAACAAAGGTTCTCTTATAAGGAGTAGAAGAGGAGATAGATATTTAAGGAACAGATAAAGAGGAAGGTGTAGGTGAGAATGTAGTAGGAGAGTGTGCAGTGGGTTTAGGTCGTTTGGTACGACAACTAAAGTGAGGAGGAGGGGTAGGTATCGGGGAAGTGATAGAGACTGGAGTATCTGGATTTAGGATAGAAGATGGATTTGACTGGTGGATAGGGTGAGTAGACATAGGATGTAGGTTTTGGTTATAGGGAGAAGATACCTGGGGAGATGCAGAAACATCTTATGTAGATGGTGGGGGAGCAGAGCATAGGACTGTTCTGGAATAAGTTGAGAGAGAAACACCTCGTTGTCGTGCTTCCTGTCTGGCCTCATGTAGTGTGAGGCCTAGTTTAAATCTGAGGACTGCTACCTCACATTCAAACGTATAGGCAGGACAGCTCCTATAAAACACATTATGGGAGTCTCCACAATTGGCACATGTACGTGATTGAGCAGGGCAATTTGAATGGCCATGACCAGGTTGGGCACATACAGGGCAACAGGCCATAACACCAACATTTCTGACATTGACGGGGAGGGGGTCGATATTGTCAAACGTGATAAGACAATCCACCAATATATACCTCATGGGGGAGGTCAATATTGCCAAGCTAATCTTGGCAATATTGACGTGGCATTTACGCTGGTCTCTTGGAGGAAGAGTGTAACACTATAGTGTCACTGCATCATATTCACCAAGGCAAGAAAGTAGGTCATTTTGGGGAATAGAAACAGTTCCAGTGCAAGTATCAAGAGTTGGGTGAGGTTTGGCAGGAATGGGTTTGCCAGTAAGGTCAGTTAGGGTAGATATTGCACGAACTTGGGCTTCAGATGTAACCGTGACAAAGCTTGAACAAACAGAGCAACTGTGAGAGGTAACTTTGCCTACTGGTTTCTGAAGGCACTGCTGAAAGAGAAGAGTATTCTCAGAATAAGGGGCTGTGGGGGGAATCACAAAGAATCGATCCCACTTGGCTGGGCCAAATAGAGTACTCAGAATGTTTGCAGAGGTATTGGCAGTAGAAGGACGAGAGCGAAAGGAAGATGGGGTGGTGTGGAGTGGAGTAGTTCTGCTGGGGGAGGACAATAAGGATGAATAGTAGTAATAAGGGAAGAGGGGGTAGACATTGAAGACTGTTGTGCACCAGGAGATGAAGAGGAGGATGCTGGGGATGAGGAAGTGTTTTCTAGGGGTTGAGCAATAACCTTGGTAGGTATTTCAGAATGGTTAGAGTTATTCGTAAGCGTCGTAGAGGGGGTATTAGTATCAGTGGTCAGAGCCGTGGTCAAGGGAGGGGCAGGGGTTGGAAAACCATCAAAATCTAATTCAGATAGGCTATTTGATGAAGGGGCAAGCCATAATGCCTCTATGAAGGGTAAAGAATCTTCAGTACTGGTGAGCCTGAATAAACTGAGGAAAAGAAATGGTCTACCCCTTAGGGCTCCCATAAGGGATAATGGATAGGTAATTAACTAAGGGAATACCATGCCCATAACTCCCGGAGGCCATTCATGACTGACACAAAGCCAGCCTTTCATCCTTTCAGCATGGCTCTCACACCTTAGGAATGGGACAGAAGAAGGGAATAAAGAAGATACAGAAGAGGAAAGAAGAGAAGAAAGGACCAAGCAAAATTAGTTAAGGCAGGGGCTGAGGCCCAAGGTAGTGGTAATCCTCTACATTGGGTCTCAGTCCCCATCCCCTGGGACTTCCCACGAAGACAATGAGCTATTTTGGGAGGCGAAGATACAGAAGAGGACAAAAGAGAAGAAAAGATCAAGCAAAATATGTTGAGGCGAGGGCTGAGGCCCAAGGCAGGGGATCCCCTGCACTGGGCTTCAGTCTCCGTCTCCTAAGCCCTCCCATAACAACAATATAGGTTTGAGTTATAATTCATTTGTTTTCAGATGTTTATAAGTATATTCCTGAATCAGATTGAAACAGTCTTATTTCTTTAGATGGCAACACATCATTGTTAACCATCATCCACACATAAAATGCAATTTGAATCATATTAGTTCATCACTGGTTGCTTGGTATAACATAAAATTTGTTCTATTATTACATAAATCATGAGAAGTTGGGAATCCATTCTTAACATATATTATATATATCTTTAATTATTTCCTTTTTTTCTGATACAAAGGCTATAATGTGCAAGTGCAAAATACAATCCATATAAAGTGAATTATCAACCAACACAAATCTTAATATTTCAAATATGTTGATCACACAAAAATAATCAATGTAAATCAGGGAAATTATCTTGATATGAAATATATAATCAAAATTGAAAATCACAAAAAAGAAGCTAATATGGACTGTATATATTCCAAAACAATAACAATAATTTATTACATCAAGTGATCATATATTCCTGTCATAGAAAAATCTGAATCAGATAACAAGTGAGTATAATACACCACACACACAATCCTTCATTATATAAACTAAAGCATTACATGACCCTCAACCTATATTGATTTTTTTTTTCTTTTTTTACCAATCTGTAAGAGAGGAATGGTTTGCACTCTTATCGTCCAACTTCTTCTTTTATAAGACGTGCAGGTATTTCTTTTTTTGTGTGTCAACCTTTATAAAAAAAATCCAAAGAATTTTATGTTCTTGCAGACTCATAATTTTCAAGAAACCAGTTTACAGTCTCCTTGATGCCTTGTTGCATGGGTGTGAACTTGAAATCTGGGAGATATTTCCTGAGTTTTGCATTGCTTGCAGTTTTCTTATACTGGCCATCTGACTTTGAGGTGTCATATATCACTTCTCCTTTGAACTCAAAAGCATCAATAATCATCTCAGCTGCCTCCTTGATAGACACTTCTGCTTCTTCGTCAACTGGATAGATGAAAATAAATTGATATTCAGTAGATGATACAGAGCATAAGTCATATGTTAGCCAATGTTATGTTAACCAATTGCCATATGCTATATCTACTGTCCGCTTTACTTGTTTTTTGTTTATTTTGTATACACATAAATGGCTTCACAAGCACTAAATTCACCACGGAGACCTAAATGACCTCACCTTGAATTTTCAAGGAAAAGAGTTTTCTATATTACTATACTTATCATTATTGTTACAATTATTCTATAAAATAGCATGATTGCTGTTATGGCATTAACAACAATAACTGTAATTAAAAGAAAATCTTTCTGAAAATTCAGTGGGGTAAACTAGTGATTTAGGAATTCTGAAGACATGCAAGTGTACACAAAATAAATAAAATCACAATGGACAAGGTATGTATACCTACCTCTAAATACCAAATGGGCTTTCTTGACTTGCCTTTATAATATCCAAAAAAGGGTGACATTGAAAAGACTACTCTTCTATACTTATCAGTAACAGTTTATTACCTGAGAGAATGATTGGGCTAACTTCATTATAGTTGCGTAATACCCAAATCATAAGCTTGGCTAGATCTCTGGAGTAGATAAACTGCCGACGAGGACTTCCAGTTCCCCATACAGTAAATGGTGTCCCATTTTTCTTGGCCGTGAAAATCTGTGGTAAATGTCAATTAGTTTAAACTGTACACCTGCACATGCATGGTTTATTGCATTTGTTAAAAACTTCAAGCAAACTACCACAGCAACAACAAATATGGTACAGCTTCTTTGACTCATTATGAAATTCCATTCTACTTTTCGTGAGATATTTTAAGCAACAACTAAATAACAAAAGACTACAAGTATTAACCTTGTTTATTAGTCCTGGCAACACATGGCCATCCTCCAAGCTGAAGTTGTCATATGGTCCATAGACATTTGTTGGTATAACTGAAGTGAACATACAGCCATACTGTAGATGATATACTTGGTTCATTATATCAATCATCCTCTTAGCATGACTATACCCAAAGTTAGAGTGATGTGGAGGGCCATTATGGACCTGTTATAAAATGAAAAAAGAAAAAAGAAAAAAAAAAACATCAGAAACAAAGCAAATATTATACCTTTATATCCAGCTATCTCAATCTTGTGTTTCACATTCAACATGACTCTTTTTAGTTACAATACAGTGATTTTCCAAAATAATGGAGCACTCTAAGATTCTAAAGTTCACCCGAAGAAAGAGAGAACATTGCCAGACTTGATCACTTATGGAAGAAGGTTTAATGGCATATTTTGCTTTTGTATGCATCAAAAAGACTTGCAAAATGCCGTAGCACCATACAGAAATACTTTTGATTCATGTAAAGATAATATTCAGCCTTCTGACATGTATGATACTACTG